ACATATATATATACATATATATACACACACACACACACACACATACACATAATAAAATTCATCCCAGTCCCAAAGAGCTCTACAGTGACTGGACACGGTTTTTCACTTATCACGGGGCTTCAGGGTATGATCCCCCACAATAAATGAGGGACTACAGCATATATTTTGCTCGTCATACAATGTCACTACTGTATAAATAATCTGGGAACGCTGTTTAATAAAAAAAAAAACTCATAAATTTTTAAAGTGAATTAGTAAACGATATAAAATAACTTGACTGCAGATGAGTCAGGTCACTCAAACCCAAAGGTCTAAGACGATAAAACACAATAAATACTCAAATTTGCAGTTTTATTTTTCAGAACTTTAATTTTAAGTTTGTAATGTTTCTATTTAGAAGATGATTTGTGTTGCTTACTGACTTTGAACTGATATACAGTTTTGTTTTTCAACATTAATGAGATATTTGTCATTTGCTTGAACCTCAGGTCTGTTTCAGAAACACTTTTTTTTCTGTTACAATTGATAGTGATGATGCCACCTGACACATAAAGTCTTATCTTTGACTGTTTTGTCACAATGTGATATAATCTGAGGCTGGGATTGATCTATAATAGTGCATGCATTTCATGCCATGACTACAGCAACATGCAAATGCACCTTGAGGTCAAGCTAGGCCTTATGATTACATGAGTTTATGTGGTACATATATCCATATCTCAAAAGCAAAAGATTACTAACATATCCTAAAGAGCTGACGACCTGAATAACTTCATATTTTCTGATCCTAAATTAAGCTAAGTCTATGTCTGAATAACTTAGGAAGGTGCCATCTGCTCACTTAGTTTCTCTGGATGGTTGCTTTTCAGGCCACAAACTATTATGAAAGGTTTATGGTCAATTTGACCAAATTCAACAATTGCTCCTTCACTGGAGATGGCTGCTCTTAATGATCTCAACTGAATTCACTTTTGTTGGTATAGGATACAAGTATGTGAGTAAATCGCATTAAGCAGCTTAAGCCATTTCATCTTTTGTCTTTGGCTTATGTTTTTTAAACATTTAATTTCTCATGTTTTATTTTCAGGTTGTTCTTTAGTAATCTAAGATTATAGCACCTGTAGAGAAAGAGCAAGATCTTAATTGTGCAAGTTATATTTTTCAAATCGCAGAATATACAGGATTTAATTTTCTTTAAGTCGGAAAATAGATTTTTGAAACCAATCAGAAGACTTGCTTATTTTACCCATATACAGTATCTGATTTTACATTTATGTTCAATCCCACAGAAGAGTGTTTACATGAGTGACAGTGTACTAAAAATGGGCAAAATACTATAAAATGGGAAATTCTGAAAACCGCGTCTCACCTTTTCATATGGATCAGAGTCATAGTTGAGTCCAATTCCACAGTCGTCTGTGATTTCAGAAAGATCTTCATCATCAAACTCCTCCAGACTAATGTCATGGGATGGCCTAAAAAACACGAGACAATATTTTAACGGCAATTTTTAAATAACTCTGACACCTTTCATCAATGAAGACTCAAGTAGAGGATTTTTGCGCTTGTTTGATTTCATGCACACACCATCCTGTTTTAGGTAAACCCTGGTTTTAGGTTGTCAGGCTCTGTCTGAGTCTCAGTAGATTCACTCAAACAATCCACTATCGCCTCTGTACTCATGAGATTTTATCCAAATGAGGTGTGACACATTGAATTCAAAGTCACAGTATCAATTTGGATGTACTGATAATCAGTTGAGGCTCCTGAAACAGGAATACTAAGTACTTCCTGCTTACACCAAAGTTTCTGAGCATCCATTGAAGCACCAGTGGTCCACAGCAGGGAGGTCTATTCTGTATGTCTCTGTAATGAACTGTAGCAGAGCACGTTTGGCTCGCCGTATTCTATTTCATCATTGCTTCATTACGTTCAGCAGGCTCCCAAGTCTGCAGCAGCTCGCATGCAATGTATCAAAGGAAATGCTGCAATGCAGCTAAGAAGAGGATATTTCATGTTATATGTAGATGCAAGCTTTGATCACTTTCTCATATAGAGTTCCATGTCTACACAATGTCATGGGTCATATGGAGCAAATGGGAAAATGCTGATGCATGCAAAGATAAAACAACATTGGGTCATAAAAAAGTCACAAATAGTTCTCCTGGTGCTGCTGGGGTTGTTCAGAGTGCAGCGACTGACATAACTGTGGAGTCTAAGAGCATTCATTTGTTCACAATAGATGCTACTTCCTGTTCAGGGTTACAGGAAGATGGGACACACTGAGGACAGATAACCAGCTCATTACAAGGCCACCCCTCAACCATGCAAAGCCACACCTAAGGTCACCTTAAAACCATTAAAGCCTGCATCTCACTGGGTGAAGACTGTTGGTGACTCGTTGGAAACACACAATTACAAGAAAATAGGCTCAATTTCACTTGGAATCATTACCATTACCACTGAAGAACCATTACACTGGTGCTTACAACACGTTTGCGTACATACGTAAACACATAAAATGCAACAATCCTTCAAATGACATGCAAAACATTTTTTAATAACTAATTAGTCACGTCTGTGAATTATTCCTCAGGTTGACTGCAATTTAATCTGGTTTCTGTCTACAAATAGTTGTTTATAGCTCGTCAAACCTTTTTCAAAGTCATCTCAAGTTTTTAGCACTTTTTGACTGATGGACGCTACGTTGAAAAGGGTTTAATAAAGGTTACAGATGCCTGCAACCACTCTGTGACTAGTTTGTGATTCAGTTTGTCGCAATTTTCTGAACATGATCAAAACTCCAGCAACGTAAGAGCAAGACTCTGCAACCCACACAAGAAAACAGAACCCCCTAAATGTTTCAAGACAGTTTGGAAACGTGCGGTTGGCTGAAGAAACAATGCACGAGAAAAAACTGAAAGAGAACGCAAACTTTACGAGATTTCAACTGATGACCTCTGATGTGTGACAACAGCACCAAGCAAAACACCAAAATGCTGCTGCTTAAGGCATGTAGATGTTACATTAATCTGTCAAGTGAGTGTTTTATTAAAAGTAACTAAAACATAAACAATTTGCCATTTTATAAAAAAATAACTAATAATTTTTTCACAACAGTACTATATGGTAATAAAAAAATGTTTAATGCATAAGCAGTGATTTATTATTAGGGACAACTTGTCAATTTTAAACAAAAACAGCTAAAACTCCTGAGAGACTATTTCAGAGGAGCGGCTGTGGCTGAGGGTTAGAGCAGTCGTCCTCCAACGGGAGAGTTGGGGGTTTGATTCCACCAGCAGTCACATGTTGAAGTGTCCCTGGACAAGACACTGAACCCCTCATTGCCTCCGATGTGTGTCCCATCAGTGTATGAATGTGATAAAGCACTGATTGTTCTTTGTATAGATCTAGCAGAGTGTTGTATGAATGGATAAATGATGGCACAGATTGTAGTGAACAGCACTTTGAGTATCTTGATAAGATAGAAAGATATTTAAGTACAGTCCATTTACCTTTTACTATTTCCAACAACAAGCTGACATTATCTAAGAAAAACTAATTAAAAAAAGCTCTTCAGTAAGAAAGAACACAGGTGGAGTGGTTGTGGAGCATGATACATGAGAATACGCACTAAACAGTGAACTTTAGTTGGATAGATCATTTGCTGCGTATCATTCCAACATAATAATTTATACAGTTTATGGTTATTTTCGTCCACTCTTCCCATATTTACAGTCACTCTCCAATGACACAGGCAAATAAAGATATACATAATTAAAGAATAATAAGAATAATAAAATACAAAATAAAAGATAAAGGTCATAATAATTACTTGAAATATAAATTCATAAGAAAATTTGAACACAGCTGACTCCTGTATTTAATGATTTCCTTAACAACTGTGAATTAGAGAAAGAACTATTGTTCAAAATGAAAAATACGTACTAAAATGCAAAAATGGGAGACATATGAACGTTAAGAATCCTTTTATTTATCTCTATATGTTGCCCAGACCTTGTGTGTTGTTATTTACATTAACACAACCCTCTCACATATCTGCCAAATACTTCCAGATTGAACTGGAACTCTCTACTAACATGATCTCTGGTTTGAGTTGAACCGATGACAGGAAGCTCTGAGGTAAAAAAAAAAAAAAAAAAGTCTGTTTAACAAAATCAAAACAAAAGCTGACGGGGCAGCGAAAACTTACTTGAACAAAACGGAGGAATCGATGGAGGAACAGAACATGACAGGCTGAGAAGCACAATGCACTGACATAGGAGACAAAGAGAGGCTGAATTTAAAGGGAGGCTGACAAGACAGTAATGACAAACACCTGGGGTGATTAAGATTGAAGAGAGGTGAGACAGGAGCTGACAACAAGGAGGGAAACACTGGGGAGTGCAGGAAACACACGGATCTGAAGAAAAGGAACAAAATACAGATTCCACATCTACTGTGAGTAAATAAAACTAATACAGTTGTCCCGCGTTTATTGAAGGGATCCATACCCTGAAGCCTCGCGATAAGTGAAAAAACGCAAAGTAGGAATAGTAATAAACTCTGCCTCCGGCTGCACTCTGCCATCTGCCAGCGCTCGCGGCCACGCCCGCTGTAGAGCGGAGATCATGACACGCTGCAGGACGAAGCTTCTCCTGCAGCTGTGGGCTGCACACAGGTGCAGCAGGTGCTAAATAATTTAAAATAATTAATTTTAAATAAAAATTCCATATCGATCGTGCAGCTCATCCATCAATCAGCCAATTGTGTGCCATGTCCAATCTTATTATGAAAAATTGCGATAGAAAAAACGAACCGCGAATTAGCGAGGGACTACTGTACTACCAAGTTCTTTTCCATCACTCTCTTGAGAATAGCTTCATATGAAAACGTCGAGTGCTAACATGAAAAAAGAGCACTTTCAAAAGACTACATACTGTACAGAGAAGAGATTTAGATGTTTTGTGTGTAATTACAGTCAGGTCAAAGAGTTGCTTTGGTTTTTAGGATGCATCAATTCTCCTTTATTTGAATTCATCTTGTGACCACTATAGCCACAAAAATACTCAGATGCAATACATAAATAAATAAATAAATAAAATCCTAAAGATAATTCTGTCATCCACTGGTTCAAAAGGTTAAAATCACAGATACTTCACCTCATTTGCAAATAAGTTTTTCTACTACAGAGCAGAAAAGCTACTGATAGAAAACACTTTATATGGAACTAGCATTTCTTGAAGGAATGCATTTTGCTTGAGGCCTTTCATACCAAGTTTTTAAATAAACACTAACATCATCCCATAGCGCGAAAGATGTACATTTAGTTATTACAATATGAGTTTGTTTTTTTTTATCTGTCATGTATGTTATGTAATATTTTGCTAACATATAGACAGACTTCCTTGATCTTTTGCAAATTTCCAGACTCTTATCTTCTGTTTGCATTGTCACAAGCCTGAAGCCATCATTTCTCACAGGTACAATGCTAAATGTAATGTTTACAAGACAGTGGTGAGACCAGCTATGCTGTATGGTCTGGAGACAGTGGCACTGACAAAAAGACAGGAGGAAGAAGTGGAAGTGGCAGAAATGAAGATGTTGAGGTTCTCCTTAGGAGTGACAAGGATGGATAAGATTAGGAATGAGATCATCAGAGGTACAGCACAGGTTGAACAACTGGGAGATAAAGTTAGAGAGGACAGACTGAGATGGTTTGGGCATGTCCAGAGAAGGGACAGGGGGTATACTGGTAGAAGGATGTTAGAAATGTAGCTTCCAGGAAAAAGACAAAGAGGAGAGATATGGATGAAGTTAGAGAGGACATGGAGGTAGTTGGAGTGAGGACAGAGGATGCAGAGGACAGAGTGAGATGGAGGAGGATGACTCACTGTGGAGACCCCTGAAGAGGGAAAAGCCAAAAACAAAACTAAAAGAAAGACACTGCTAAATGTAAGGAAGTTGTGTTAGTCTGCAGACAACGTAATATTCAGACCAGGTTCCCCTGAACATTTTAGCCTAAAATAATACAACCACAAACTGAAGCGTAGGCAGTGATGAGATGAGATGCAGAGTCAACATTAGTGTTGGCAGCATCTAAGCTACGGTGTTACAGCATCACAGCATGTGGCTGACAGTTTTATTCACCACTGCACGTCAAAGTCACTCGCTTTCCCTCCAATGATTCTGCAGGTTGCTCCTTAAATGGGAACACTTCCAGTGGTTTATTTAGCCTTCCTAAAAACAAAAATTCTAAATTGTTATAACAGGGCCTCTTCACGCTCACATTCACTGGGATTAAGGCTTTAATAATAAGATTTTGCACCATTTCTGAGACTTTTTTTACACTTTCCAAACTCAGCTGATCTTCACCAGTTTTAGCATGTCCACAAAATCTGTCAAATCAGAACACAGAAACATCTGTATCATCTGCATGTTCACACACCCAAACGGTCCATATCAAAACATAAAT